GCTTTGATCGCTTCACTTCGTGAGAAGCTGAGTGTACCGTCACCACCGGAAACTGTCAATAAGGTTAGTGTCTCTTCTTCTTTACTGGTTTCATTTTGTAATTTATCATCCACCGAGCTTATTTTTACCTATGAATCTTGTTCCGTTCCGTGACGAGAATGTCAGTAGCTCTGCTCATAAAGCCTTTTATCCTTACTTTTCAACGAAACGGCTTTTTCGAGAAAAAATCGTACCAAGTCTTTACATAGAGAGCTTAGGGTTACGCATCTTTTCAGGCTATACCGCTGTTCAACGATTCTTTCATTGCTCCGATACTTACGCCCATCAACTTGCAACCGTTGGATGACGAGTATCTCGGTAGGCTCTCTCAAATGTATCTACTTTTTTGACAATTTCTTTTAAGGGCCTCTTGAAGGTGCTGTCAGTTCGGGTTCTTTCCTCCACAATTTCTCATCTTTCAGTATGGTATGTGCCGCTTCTTCTTCTTCTTTTGGTGTTTTCCTTTTCGGTACAGGTGCAGTTTTCAGTATTCATATCTTTCATGGAACACTATTGGTCGGCCTTGGAAATCAATGGAATTTTTAGCACATTCTGTAGATCCTCCCGCAGAAACTGAGTTTTACTCTGATTCTAGTGTAGGTGAGAGTCTCTTCTCAAAAATTTTCGAATAATGAAGCGTATCCATGATTGATTGAGGGTTTCGACCTATCGAACCTGGGTCAGGTGTAGAATTTAGCAAAGCCCTTGGCGGTAACCGTGTTCGTGAGCAGTTTACAGGTAAGTCTCGTAGCTTGTTGAGCTTGGAAAACATCTCTTTTTCGCTTTAGTGATCCTGTTGACTTACAATCGTGATGCTGTGCTGGCAGCTTCGTTAGAACGACTTCATCGGCTCCCTTATTTGAATAAGGTTATCGTCATCTGGAACAATGTGGCTAGAGAACCACTAGGAGCTTGGCCTCGCCTTCATGTGCCAGTCGAGTATGCTCATCTTGTTGCTGTGGTTCGATACTTTTGAATGCTGAGCGAGTGAACTTATTTAGGTTCATCAGAGTTACCAAAAATAGTCTCAACAACCGGTTTGTACCATGGGATCGTATAAAAACGGAAGCGGTTCTCTCACTTGACGACGACATCGACTTGAAACAACATGAAATTGTATTTGCGTTCAGGTAAGGTTGGATACTACGCGGGGTGGAGACGTTTTCGTTCAAATTTGAAATTACAGCCCGTATAGTTTAGGGCAGAGTAGACCAGTTTTTGTTATTTTTACATTAGGAAAAAGTTCATTTTGTACATCTTTTGGTTTTATGTATGGACGATTTGTATGGTAAAAAGATTGAACCTAGGTTTTCGTTCTGCTTTGCTCACTATCATCCACTTAATCATCCTTCTCAAACGCTTTCCTGTTTTTTTGTGTCTTGATACCTTTGAAAATCAAAGCTTCGTTATCATTTTATTCTCATTCTTTCGTCATTAGCTGTATCTTCTCCATTTCTTGAATCAATCTTCTGTGGGATGCGTTCAAAGTAGAGGATTAATCAATATGGTTTGGCAAGCAAAGATCTTCCATT